AATCCATAACCGATCACAGGGATGGTGCAAGACCAGGTGTATTCTTTCTGTTGTACAGAGAGTACCAGGAACCAGAGGCTGATTTCTGCAGCAGCTAACAACAGAACTACAGGACAGAGTGATGGAAACATTGATTTTAAACCAACTGTAAGAGATTTGGGGTTGTCTTTTTTTTTTTAAGTTTTTAATTGTGAGTCGAGTGAAAGTTTACAGGGCATATCAACAGTTTTATATTCAGCAAATTGTATACCTTGTTTCATTAATTGATTATAATCCCCTCCATGTACCATTAGTTAACAGTATTTCTCTCTATTCACTTTAGGCTTTTTGTATTTTTAAACAACTAGAACACTTTACAAGGAATCTTGGTAGCCTAAGTGTTGTGGATTACAATTTGGGCTAATAACAAGAAGGTCAGCAATTTGAACTCTATAGCAAATAACATATATATAATATATATGTTTTTATATAATATATATAAATATGTATATATATAGAGAGAGAGTAGAAAGATGAGGTTATATATATATATATTGTTGTTGTTATGTGCTACGGAGTTGGTTCCAATGCATAGCGACCCCGTACAGGGTTTCTGAGGCTGTAAATGTTTATGGGAGCAGAAAGTCTCATCTTTCTCCTGCAGAGCAACTGGTAGTTTTGAACTGCTGACCTTGCGGTTCGCAGCCCGATTCGTAACCACTACACTAACAGAGTTCCATATATATATAAATATATAGTAGAAAGATGAGGTTTTCTTTTCCCATAAGATTTACAGTGCTGGAAACCCTATGAGTAGAAACAAACTTGATGTCACTAACTAGCAGGAACAGTAGCAAAGCAGCTTACAATGGGTCAGGATGCTTTGTGATGAATACACGAACTTTTCTTCACCAGAATTCTCCAAGATGAATTAGTACTGCCAAGGATTCTGAGGGTGGTAAGAATGTCTACATCCTACACAAAAAGCAAAGGGGATTCGGCACCTGATCCATGTAACAGTCTACTGCAACAGCAGTGGGAAAGTCTTTCCTTAGGTTAAACTGTTCCATGTCAGAGGCTGAATAAGAGGTTCTGTCTTTCCTAAGTAAAAATGCCTGGACTTTTATAAAATGATATGAGATGGAAAGGAAAGAAACCCCATATAAGCCAATCAATACTAAAAAGACACAAAACAGGCTTCTTCCTTCTGATGTAAAACCTTACAACCCAGCCACAAGAATCAAACTAGCCTGGTACTAGTACAATGAAACACATCGATCAATGGAACAGGATTGAGAACCCAGAAGTACATCCATCCTCCTATGCTTAGTTGATCTTTGATAGAGGACCCAAACACATTAAATGGGGAAAGCCATTTGCAAAAGATGAAACAAGACCCACATCTCACACCATATTCAGAAACAAATTTAACATGGATTAAAGACCTAATTGTTAAGCCTAAGAATAATAAAGATCATCAATGAAAAAACTGAAGCAACTTAGTTGCTCTGATTTATGGTATAAGTACTCTAAACATAAACATAACTGAAAACTTACAAACAAAAGAAGGAAAAACAGATGATCTCCTAAAAATTAGACATGCACATCAAAAGGTATCACCGAAAGAGTAAAAAGAGAATATACAGACTGGGAATTATTTTTTGGCAATGATATCTCAGACAAAGACTACTGTCTAAAATTTACAGAACTCTTCAACATCAATAAAACAAATAATCCAATTAACAAATGTGCAGAATGGACCCCCAAAGAAGACATTTGCCCGACCCATAAACTTATGTAGAAATGGTAATGATCACTAGCCATTAGAGAGATGCAAATCAAAGCAACAATGAGATATCACCTTGCCCCAGCCTCAGTAGCAAAGTTAAAAAACACACACCAGAAAACAAGTGCCGGAGAGGGTGTGGAGGGTATGGGACCCTCCTACACTGTTAGCGGGATTGAAGAATGGTGCAACTGTTTTTGAAAATGATATGATGCTTTCTAAGACGGTTGGCAACAAAAATGCCTTGTGACTCAATAATCTCTCTGCTTGATATATGTACTCAAGAAATGAAAGCCGTAACACGAATAGATATGTGCATGTCCATGTTCATTGTGACATTATTCACAACAGCAAAAGGAGACAGTCTAGATGCCCATCAACAGAGGAAGACATGAACAGACTTTGATACATATATACAAAGGAATATTATGCAACACCAAAGAATAATGATAAATCCGCAAACCATCTCATAGTATGGAAGAACTTGGAGGGTATTATGTTAAGTGACATTCATTGATTACAAAAGGACAGATATTATATGAGACCACTACTGTAAAAAGTAAAAAATAAAAAATATATATATTTTTCATTCTATAATAAACCAGGGGTTGCGGGAATGCTGGGTAGAGTGTAGACACATAGTAACTTGGGTGATGGGGAAGACAGGTAAAAAGAAAAGGAAGGAAAACAGAAGAAGGAAGCGGGGTGGGGATGGGGAATCAATTGCTTTCTTTTTTTTTTATGTTCTGGAAGGAAAACAATATACATATATATTCTCATAAAAGAGTATGTGTATTAGTTTTTATTTGAAACATGAAGACCAGGCTTACTACAGCAACATCTTCTGTGTTGTTATGACATGTTTAGTACAGGGCAATCTGACCTCTTACTTTCATCTTAATACTTTTATTTTCTTTAATAGCATGGCCTCTATAATGGTGAATTATGATATTCAGAAAAGTTTTTGAAGACTGCCTTGGATTATAAAGTCAGTAATCCAGGAAACAATGTAAGAATGCAAAATAAATAAAATTGCAAAAAACAACAAAAAAAGCTTAATAATGCTTCATCATTCTACAGCTTTGTTACTAAAAATTTCCTTCATTATAAAATGTGAACATTAATTAACTGTAAGATTAACTGAATACTGAGGTTTGTCCAACTCCTAGAGGTCACAATTTGATTATTTTCTAAAATTATTTTCGTAAGATTTATTTGTCATTTCTAAAATTAAAAAAAAAAAAGTATAAAAATGATACTTGTATTACAAGCCATGGAAAATACACAGTTTGGTCCTGTAGCACTCAATAGACACAATATTATTCAATTAAACTAAGAATATTTAGAAGACTATCTCAGGAGACATTCACAAACAAAATAATCCTGGCATCACATATTGTTGTTGTTAAGTGCTATGGAGTAAGTTCCAACTCATAGTGACCCTGTTTAGGGTTTCTGAGGATTTAAATCTTCCAGGGAATAGAAAGCCTCATCTTTGTTTCCTGCTGAGTGGCTCTTGGGCTTGAAACATGGACTTTGCAGTTAGCAGTCCAGTATTTATTGTATCCACAGAGTTGATGGTGGAGTTGGTACCTACTCATAGCAACCCTATATAGGGTTTCTGAGGCTGTAATTCTTTACAGGAACAGAAAGCCTGATTTTTCTCCTATGGAGTGGTTGGTTTTCGAACTGTTAACCTTGTGATTATCAGCCCAGCTCATAATCCACTATGCTACCAGAGTTCCTTACTGTATAGAGTACTTGGAAAATCCATTACCCAGCTAATAAAAATGGAGTCCAATGGTAATAATAGATTGTTGTTGTTGTTGTATATCATCAAGTCGGTTATGACTCATAGCAACCCTGGATAGGGTTTCTGAGAGCGGCTGGTGGGTCTGAACTGCCAACTTTGTGGTTAGCAGTCCAGTAGTTCTCCTATAGCACCACACCAGTGTTTAGACTAATCACTGGATATTCCCAGAGAGCATTTTGTTAATAAGAATATTCTGTAGTATTAGCAAGTTATGAAAACTCTGGCATTATTACCCTGTTATACCAGTTGGGATTTTGCACAAGTAAATATATTATCATATGCAAAGGCATAAACCCTTACAAATATAGCTTAACACCAATTCTCAAAGGACTAGATTTTCACAGATGTACCCAGTCTTTTTGCCCATGCATTTTATTTTCAACTTTCTAATTCTAACCCTGATATGTCACTATAGGATAAGCATTGGACTGCTAACCATAAGGTCAGTGGATTAAACCCATCAGTCACTCCTAGGAAACCCTTATACAGGGTTGCTAGGAGTCAAAACTGACTAGACAATAATTTATCAACTTCTAAATTCCACTTTCTTTTTCATATGCTCCTGGATTTCTATTAAATAACTGGCTTATAAATATAAAAGCTTGTTAACTCTTGGATAATCATTTCTACTTTTTGTTGTTATAATTTAAAATTTTTCTTATGCTATGAGTTAAAAAATATATAGGAATAGAGGATTGACTATCAAAGTTTCTTTTTTTCCCCCAACTGTGAATTTCAAAGTTAAAACCTTGCTTATACTGACTACTAAGTTACTTGCAGTTCACCTGATTATTTATACACTCTCTGTTCATAATACATATCTTCTGTATAATTTGTGTGCATAAAATTTTGTTGTGTGTCTTTGAATTGATTCAGACTCAACAGTGACCCTACGGACAGAATATAACCATCCCTGGGGGTTTCCAAGGCTGTAGTCTTTCTGAAAGCAGATTGCTATATTGTTCCCCCTTGGAGCCACTGATAGGCTCACACCAATGACCTTTTTGTTAGCAGTTGATTGCTTCACTACTGTGTTACCAGGGCTCCTTGTATAAATGTGTTGTTAGTGTTAAGTTCTTTCATGGAGGTTCTCCCACAGAGCTGCTGGAGGGCTCGACGCACAGACCTCGAACTTCCCAATCCATTGTTTATTGTATGTATGTACACGGTATCATAGAATCAAGCTACTTTGTAATCAAATTACCTCAGTGCCTATAAAACCAGAAGTATACATCTTCCCATTCAGATTTACAGTTTGGCACACAAGGAAGATATTTCCCAACTATGACAAAGTTGGGAAATTCATTGTAAAACAAATGAAATCAGATTTAGTTTTTAGAAAGACACTATTTTGAAGACTTATTTATACAGTGCTACCAAAACTCAAAGTAACATTTGCGGTAGGATATAATTGCTACTTACAAGCAAACTGAAGCTTTGCTTCTCTGCTAACAATTGTTCCAAACGAGTTTGTTGCGATGCACTGATACATTCCAGCATCTTGGGTTTTATTGGGGTTATTGATCAACAAGCTTCCTTCAACAACACTGTAGCGGAAATCCATTCCAGTGTCAACATCTGTTCCATTTAACTTCCACCTATAGGATAAAAATGCCAGTAGATAAAGCCTTGTAATATTCATCAATATTTCTGAATTGTCTGAAATATACAAAACTATAAATAGCATGAAATATCATTTCTGACTTTTTTAACCACAGGAAAAAATATTAGAAAACAATGACATCATAAGTGCCTACGAACAGAGAACATCCTTTCACGTAAACAAGCTTATTAAAATTCTAATGCCTGCTTTTATGACTCTTTTAGATACTTTCACAAATACTTTATTTTATTTTGAATTTCCCATTTTACCTCATAAAAGATTCTTCAAATGGGACTCCTAAGTAAAAAAAGCCTTTTTCTCCAGTTTGCAGTTTTTCTTTAGACTCTATACAGATGACAGAATAAACCGCTTCCAGGTAGACTGCTGAACATTTGATGAAATTGCAGCAGTGTTGCTTTGATTTGGTCCTAAATATGACTGAAGTGGCCAAGTACAGCAGGAGAATTCTATTGATCTAGAGCTGTCTTAGGGAGCAAACTAGTCTCAGCCATGGATCGGTGGAAAGCTCTCTTTACACACTGCCACTTAAACTTCAATGAAGCACTGTCATGAACTGCAAACAAGGCATTAGTAAACTGTGGTTGAAAAAAGGTGATACTGTCATCCATCCTGTGGGTTTACCTGGATTACCTGTTTATCTGACTATTGCATTTAGCTCAATAAATTAGTTTTAACAGTACTCACACATTTCAACAGCTTTGTTTCTGTTAGAAACAAGAGCTTCTCGCTTACACATACACACAATTTCAGAGAGAGAGCTTATCTTAACCAAATTGCTTTCCAGGGAGACAACAGAAAACTGATTAATTTTGGGTAAAAACAATTTGGTGTGTAGCTATTTTAAGTTTTTACGTCCAAATCCAACACAGCATATCAGATAACGAAAACAGCATAGCTGAAGCTTCTGAATTATCTAGAGTCTCAAAATATCCAATTCCCATTGGGAGACTAAAAAAATAGGTATTTGCAGCATAAAAGAACCTGATCCAAAGCAGTAACAGGAATACTTAGATATATTCATCTAATCTCTTTCAAGCCATTCAAAAGTCACCATTTGAATGTGAGTGCACACACACACACACTGTACATCTTTTCATAACATTCTGGGGTTCTACGGCTGGATATCAGATGTAGTGTGGTTCAGCATGAGAATGCTCGACTTCCTTGTGGGGGACCTGGGTTCGATTCCCAGCTGGTACACCTGCTACACAGCCACCATTTGTGTGGTAGTGCAGTTCTGCTGTTGCAGCCTGCAAAGTCAGTCATAAATGAAACTCCTTCCATGAAGACTTCCTTAATATTCCTAATCAGTATGAATCAAAACTCACCCCCCCTCCCCAAATCTCCTACTCCTTCATGTAAAATTCTCCCTGATCCTTTATGTAGAATTGTTGCCTTCTTTGTAGATGATCATGTTCAAAGCTCTCCCTCTCCCACCAGATTTAAGCGTCCTGACATTTTAAGCATAATCATGGTTAGTTGTCTTCTAGTTGATTCTAACTCTTGGGATCCTCTGTGTAAGAACTGCACTGTTCCATAAGTCTGTCAAGACTGTGACTGTTAAGAAGCAGATGGTCAAGCCTGTCTTTCAAGGTACTTGTGGGTGGTTTGAACTGCCAGCCTTTTGGCCAGTAGTTGAGGACATATCAACTTGTACCATCCAAGGACTCCTTTAATGGTGGCTGTTGTTGTTACGTCCTGTGGAGTTGATTCTGACTCACAGCCAACCTGTATAGGGTTTCTGAGGCACCACTGGTAGGCTTGAACTGCCAACCTTGTGGTTTGCATTCCAGTGATGATCCTATAGCCCCACATCAGGAGTCGGTGTCTAAATCACTTTTGCATTCTTCCTTTAATGACATAGAACCCTGATACTCTTACTGTGCTTGGTCAGTGGTTGTTGAATTTAGCTGAATAAATATTCTACTTCTTTGCTAGCTATTCCAGCTCTAAGCACACACAATTTATAGAGCATTCCAGCAGCTATGGCCCTGAGAGTAAACATTTAGAAACCTGAAGGGTAGGGAAGCTGGGCCAGTTCCTGAAATGGGACCTCACTTTTCATGTGTTAGTGTGTAAGAAACTGGGTATTAGAAACAAACAAACAAACAAACAAATGGACAGTAATTCTCTCTGTGTTCTGAAACAGACAAGAAAATGATCAGCAATAAACAGGAACAGCAGACTTATCGTCTCACATGCGCGTGAATCTCTAGAGGTGACTGTCTGCTATAGACATGCTGATGTATCAGCTGATCACATCTGGGCCATAACTCTCACTTCAAATGATAGTAGAGCAATTTAATATGACAAATCTAAGAACCCAAAGAGGGAATTTCAATATAATGTGAGCTGCAAGCAGAGTGTGGACTTTAGGCATGGGGTCATGTGCATCGTTATAGAAAGGTGGTTGTGTAAATAATGAGAACAGCTTTGCAGGTTTGTCTACACTCGTCATCTCAGCCAAAATGTTCTGTGGAGAGTCTGTTCATCTTCTCCATTGCCTGCCTTTACATACAAATCACAAAGGAGAAGGGATTATTTAGAAAATAGAGTGCTTTCTGTGAAATGCAGTCGCATCTCTAACACAAAGCACTATACCAAGGTTTATTTCAGTGCAGTCTCTGCTCGTTCCAGCTGCATGTGGATAGCACTGAACTCCCTGTCTCATTGCATACTGAAACACTTGAAAACTCCACAATGTATTTTTGACATTTGAGGAATCTTACATACAGTATCTTCCCAGGTTATGAACATAACTCTTTCATGTTATATAACTTGATCCTCACTTTGAAAGGGTAGAATCAACCCCTATTCTCAACAAATTCTTCATCATCATCACCTTCACTTGCTCTATGTTGTTGTTGTTAAGTGCCGTTGAGTCGGTTCCGACCCATAGAAACCCTGTACAGGGTTTCTGAGGGTGTAAATCCTTACGGGAGTAGAAAGCCTCATGTTTCTCCCGCAGAGCGGCTGGTAGTTTCGAACCGCTGACCTTAAGGTTCACAGCCTGATTCGTAACCACTATGCTACCAGAGCTCCTTGTGTACCTTTTAAAACATGGAAAAGTTTTAAGCTTATTCTTGCGCTGGTGGTGGTGTCTGTGTGCCGTGGACTCGGTTCTGGCTCATGGCAATCCTATATTGAATTTTAGAAGCTGTGAATCTTTAAGGAGCAGTAAGCCTCATCTTTCTCCCTTGGGGTGACTGGTAGTTTTGAACTGCTGACCTAGATGTTAGCAGCTCAACTTATAACCCACTATGCAACCAGGACTCCTTATTTTGACACTAAAGTCAGGTTAAATAAGAACTGTATGCACCTATTCTGACATACCTACATATATGACTTAAAGATACTCTTAGGAATCGCTCTTGTTTGTAACCTGGTGACTACCTCCACTGACAATGTTGTTGTTGTTAAGTGCCATCGAGTAGGTTCTGACCCATAGCGACCCTGAACAGAGTTTCTGAGGCTGTAAATCTTTATGGGAGCAGAAAGCCTCATGTTTCTCCCGCAGAAAAGTTGGTAGTTTCGAACTGCTGACCTTGCGGTTTGCAGCTTGATTCATAACCGCTGTGCTACCAGAGCTCCTTCCACTGATAATAGAACAAGGATATTCATTTGGAGCAAGTAGATTTTTTTTTTTTTTCTGGGAGAGAAGACAAATTGGTATGTTCTGGAGGTGATATCTGAGTCACTTGGGGAAGCCCATGCCACCTCTTGCTAGGAAGCTGGGTTCAGAGTTGTATATAACTTAAACACGGATGCTATGAAGCTCTCAAAGATACAATTTTGCTGCCATTGCTAGAACTAGAAGGGAAGTTGTCTATAGGATTTGGTGTAGAAAACACTCCTTCATTGCGAAGTGCTTCAAGTTGGCACAGAAGGAGGGGGCACGACCTCTCTGGCTGGGGATTTGTTGTCTGCAAACTCAGATGAATACAAAGCTCACAGCAAAAGTACTCCATCCAAGGACTTAGACATTCCTTCTGTCTGGACAGGCATGCTGCCTGCAATAAGTAATGCCACCTGTCCTTAGGGAACTTTCATACAAGAGAAGCTGGCACAAGTCAAAATTTCTAAAATGTTTCTGGGTCTGGGTCAGTCCTTTCAAAATTGAGGGGCAGGAAGCAATGAAAAGGGAAGACTCCGTTGTGGGAATAAACACAAAGAAGAGAGGTCAGTTGGGGTGTCTGAGGGAAAAAAATTGATGCTGAAGATCCCCTATGGAGAACTCATCTTGGAATTGCTCTTACTTGTTCCTCCCCCTCAAAGTCAGCCTAAAGGTGCAAAAAGTTCAGCAAGAATGATTTCTGGAAATACCTGATGTCTCCCTTCCTTGTTATGCTATTTCTTTCAATAAGAGGGAGTCTTGAACTTCCAGGCACTAACGTGCACAGAAAATCTACCAAAGGTACAAAGTGCACGGTGACCAATTGCTAAAACATTTGATTAAAAGTTTTCTTTTCAGCTTTTCTTGACAATCATTACAAACATCATAGGTTTCAGTCCCACTGCTTATTTTAGATAACAATGTAAGTCCCTATATCTAGGAACACAATGTTCCAAAGCAATGTTAATTCAAGGTCATAGTTTTGGGATACACAAAGCAGCGATGTGCCAATTTCTGTTGCAAATTTTGTTTTCATTTAAGGGTAACATATGAACTTATTTAGGACAATGAACGGAAAACTGGGGCCAAGTAATTCATCACATATGTATGTAGAAATCTTTGTCATTTGGATTTATTTCTATTAGAAACAACTTTTTCTTGTTGTTTTTGAACTGAGAACTGTATACTTGAAGCTAACAAACTCCATATCCTGGTTTGCCTAGGAGAGTGCTAGGTTTACACCTGCTGTTTTAATGTTTAATGGTGGCCTTTTCGTTTCAATGGGATCCTGATTTGGATGATAAATTATGTGTTCAATCTAATTATAGGGTCCATTAGAGCTGTTGTTTCTTTTCCCTTTCTGGAATGCACTTTCCTTACTCATATGACAAAAGACTATAAGACAGCTCCTTTCTGGAAAGCGTCACTAATTGTCTGCCTCATCTTTTTTCTCCTCCACGATGTCCTAGAACGTAGACATTCTCTTTGAACACTTCCAGCATACTTCAAACACTTCCAGGTGTAGGCAATCTTCAATACAATCACACTAGTTGAACACTGTATCTCCTTGATCTTTGAACACTTCATACCTAGCGCGATGCCTGGCATATTGCAGCTGCATACTATACTAGTTTTAAAATGTTTCTTAAGTGGTTACATAATTTTCAGAGTTTTAAAAAATTCTACAATTCAAGGTAGAATTGCTGTGGTTGAATATTGGTTGGAAGCTCTGCTCTTCTCCTCCCCAGATAATCCCCAGGCCATCTCTGTGTAGCATGGAATTGTTGTTGTTGTTGTTAGGTGTCATCGAGTTGGTACCGACTCATAGCAACCCTATGCACAATAGAACGAAACACTGCCTGGTCCTGGGCCAACATGGTCCTGGGCCAACGTGGAATTAGAAGTTTGAAAAACACTGGGTGGTTTGATGAAAGTTTGATTAGTGAATGAATTAATTAATGGACACAAATAACAAAGAATATTCACTACACTAATACAACAACCCTTTAACTTACATGGACTATACTTTACCCACTGCCTCCTTGAAAACTATCAATTTCAATTCAAATTACATTTCTTTTGCGCATCCTTCTAGTGACTTCAATGTCTCCCTCCACTAAGCTGTGGTATAAATGCTGCATTTCTTTGATTCTTTCATACTGTACATGTTAGTTATAAGCTTACATTATTATTATTAAATTTGATTACAGACAAAATAATATTGTGCTGGGGGCCAGGAGGCTGGCTTCCAGAATGTGCCCTTTGGTTGTTTAAACGATTATATATCCCGGTGATATAGACATCAAAAAACAAGCGGGGGGCGGTTGCTGATAAAAGAAAACATCTATGATGGTTTGGGGAAGGAGGAAATGATACTTGCACTAGAGAGTAGACACGCGTTGACATGGGTGATGGGGCAGGCAATATACACCCAGATGAAGGATGGCAGAGGAAAGATGGGGGTGGCGGGACACACAGGGAGGAACACAGTGATTGGAGTGAATAGAGGTAAATGCTGTTAACTGTTGGTGCATGAATGGGATTGCAACCACATAATGAAGTAAAGTATGTGATTTGTTGAATGTAAAAGTGATCATCTTCTCTGCAAACCTTCACTTAATTCACATTAAAAAGTTTTTTAAAAAATTATAAAATATATAAAACATAAAGAACCATGAGACAATCAAGATCCTTGTCTAAGAAAAGGGGTATTACTTTTGAAGTCTCTTGTGTTCACTTTGATTTCAGCCTCTTCCCCCACCATGGTGAATTATAATATTTAATTTTAACTTCACATTCCTTGTGAATTTCATTATGATTTCACCTACTCTGTTAGTATCCTCAAGTAACAGCTGCATTATACCTGCTTTTGAAATTTGTATCACAGGAATAGTACCCTACTGATTTGTCTGTAAGTTACTTTGTTTATTCAAAACTGTGTTCCTGTGATCCATCCAAGTTGCTGCAGCTGAAATTTACTCATTTTTACTATTGCATGAGCTTACCTTTAGTGAACAGATCATGTTATGTTTATTTCTGAATGGGCTATGAATATTTTAATATATCCTGGATAATAGGCTATGTGCACTTCAGTTACTATGTATTAGTGATTGCTTGTTTTTACACTGTTTTTATGGTTAACCACTAGTTTGGGAATTACTAATGTGGTGCTGTGGGTTAATGTGCCAGACTGCAAAGCCGTTTGAACTGCAAGGTTGGTGGTTCAAGCTCACCAGTTGTTCCTTGGAAACACTATACAGGGTCGCTATGGGTCGGAATTGACATGACAGCACTTAACAACAACAACAACCATATGCTTAGGATTGGGTAGTGTTTCGTTCTGCTGTGCATAAGGTTGCTATGGGTCGGTACCAACTCAATGGCTCCTAACAACAACAACAACCATATGCTTAACATACCGCTGGTACCTGGATGGTATAATTTGCAATTGACTGCTTACATAAAGGTTGGTAGTTTGAACCTACATAGTATCTCCATGAAAGAAAAAACCTAGAAATCTACTTACACAAATAATAATAGCCAAGAAAATCCTATGGAGCAAAGTCTAATGACTTAAACTTCTTTGTTGCTGCTGAGAAGTCTGATGGCAGTTTAACTGCCATTCTTTTGAAAACTAAACTCAAACCTAGTGCCATAGAGTCAGTTCGGACTCATAGTGATGCTATGTAGAGTTTCTGAGACTGTAAATATATTTTCAGGAGCAGACAGCCTCATCTTTCTCCAGTGGAATGGCCAGTGAGTTTTAACTGTGGAACCTGCAGTTAACAGTCTGATGCTTATCCTGTCTATGACTGTTTTGAAGGTCACGTCTATGACTTGGTTCTACTGTTTCACCATGATCATTACAGATGAGGCTTTATTTGTATTTGTACAGCCTGAAATGTATCAGTTTCTTTAATCTGTAACTTGGAGTTTTAAAATCAGTTCTGGAAACTTCTAAGACAAGTCTTTAAACATTGCCTTTGTTCCATTCATTCTCTCTTGTCCCTCCTCTGGAAATCTGATATCTGTTGGTTTTCTCCCTTTTTGTTTGAATTTTCAGCCTTAGATCTCCATCTGCTGCTTTTGAATGATTTCTTCACATCTGTCTTACTCTTTACTAATTATCTCTTAAGCTGCTTCTCATTTCTTATTAAAACCACTCAACATCAAAACTTGTGATAGGCATTTTCCTGTATCTTCCAGTCCCTGAGGAGAAAAGTTTATTCCTTATTCACATTTATAACAAGGAAGTCATTAGTTTATTCTGGGAAGTGTTCTAATGTTAGACACTCCTGGATGGGCCTATGCTTTGTCTAGCAGCCTTAAACCAAACCTTAAAAAGCCAAAGTATCACTTCATGTAGCTGAACCGCAGCTGGTGTTCAGTTTACTTCTCCAGGTTCCAAAGTCACTTTGTTTTTAGCTTTTGAGTATTATTTCTTTGCTTACGGTTTATTGTTGCATTTTAAAACAATGGATTCTGAACAAAATATTTTATTTGGAATTTTTAAGTCTTTCAGTGAGATGGTCAATCAAAATATTTAATTCCCAAGACTGTCAGAAACAGGAGTTCAGTACTTAATTTTTTAAGAACATGATCACCTCTTTATATATCTTAGTATAGTCTATGATACCTAACCAAAAGCTCTTCATGTGATATTACTGAGTAAATATTTGTTGATAATAATAAAAACTAAACTCATGTTTTTCAATCAACAAACCTGATATGTGGTTTTGGATTTCCTTTAACTTCACAATTGAGTTTCACTTTTTTCTCCTCAGAATCCAAAGGGAACATTATATGACTTGGCTCTTGAACAAAAACAGGACCATGCAGTGTGTGGTCATCTGAAATGAGAAGAGAAAATATTCCAAAATGAAGAGCATCATCCAATATCCTCAAGAAGAAGAAGCACCAAAATGAGAATAAATAAGCTACAAATAAAAAAAGAAAGAAAGAATTATTACAACTTAGATTCAGTTTCCCATTGAAGACTAATCCTTTGCAGATAGATCTGGACTGTTCTTCGTTGTATTTGTCATTAATGTTACTAACATCCAGACAGAGACCTGCTTCACATAGTTCTTTCTCTCCTGTCCAAAACTACTTGTTTTGTGTGTGTGTGTGTGTTGTTGTTGTTATGTGCCATGGAGTCAGTTCCGACTCATAGCGACCCTGTACAGGGTTTCCAAGGCTGTAAATCTTTATGGGAGCCAGAAAGCCTCATCTTTCTCCCATGGAAGGGCTGGTAGTTTCGAACTGCTGACCTTAAGGTTCGTAACCTCTATGCTACCAGAGCTCTTTCCCTCTCTTATAGTTTGTTCATATTTTGTGCCAACCACATCCTTTGTTTGTTATTATCATCCTGGAAGACATTAAAATTCCTTTGCTCTGTAATGCGGAGACCTGATTAGAAGAAATGACTATTTCACAGATATATGAATATTGAAAAGCAGCTTGGTGGTACTCACATATACAGAAGGGGCTCAAAAAGTTCATGGGAAACTTGGATGAAGAGATAATGGAATTTTCCCACAAATTTTATAAGTCCTCTAGTATATATTGTTGTTAAGTGCTGTTGAGTTGGTTCCAACTCATAGCAACTCTGAATAGGTTTTTCAGGGAGTGAGTGGCTGGTGAGTTTAAAGCATCAACTTTGTGGTTCAAACGGACCTTGTGGTTTAGTGTTTATCTTCTAGTGCCATACCAAGATTCCATTTAGTTTTCTTAAAATAGGCCCATTTGTTGCTGTTTTTAAGTGCCGTTGAGTCAGTTCCAACTCATAGTGACCCTTTATAGGGTTTGCAAGGAGTGGATGGTGAGTTGGAACAGCCAACTTTGTGGTTCACACCAGCCTTGTGGTCCAGTGTTTATCCTACAGTGCTACACCAAGGCTCCAAAACAGGCCACTAATGTAGTCCTATTTGTTGTTACATACCGCTGAGTCGCTTCCGACCCATGGCAACCCTGTAAGGGTTTCTGAGGGGCAGCTGGTGAGCTTGAACCACTAACACTGTGGTCCAGTGCTTATTCTAAAGCACTACACCAGGACTTTAAAGTAGGTCAATAATGTAGTTTTAAGTGTAGGAGCTCTGGTAGAGTAGTGGTTTCGAATCAGGCTGTGAACCTTAAGGTCAGTAGTTCGAAACTACCAGCCACTCCGTGGGAGAAAGATGAAGCTTTCTGCTCCCGTAAAGATTTACAGCTTCAGAAACCCTGTACAGGGTTGCTATGGGTTGGAACCGAGTCGATGGCATTTAACAACAACAACATAGTGTAGGCCAATTAAGAATAGTCTAGAGTAGTCATTCTCAAAGGAGCTACAGTGAAGGACCAGTTTTTTGCTTTATCAACTCATTCAGATCCATCCATGGTTTCACATTAAGTAGCACGTAGCTTCTACCACATGGGACTCAGCAACATACAAATTGGTCTATAACTACTTTAATGACCACTGATCATGTACAGCTTGGATCGTACAGTCATGTCAAATAGCTATGAGGTTCTAAATGATTTCTAAAGATAAGAGAAACTAGATGTACAAAACTATTTTTACTGTGGGACAGTAACAAAGTTCATAGATGAGAACCAGTGTACAAATCACAACAGGGTTGCATACATACATATACTTCTTGAGCATAAACATAGTATTAGTCCAAATGAGTTCATCTATTTTCATGTAAATGAATTTCAATCTTCAAAATCTAGTACAAATTTTACTCTGGCCCACTCCAAGAAGTGTTTTCTAAATCCTTAATTCTTTCCTTTAATCACATAAGTTTAGGTTATATATTCTTGTGAGTACTTAACGTTTTCTGCCAGTTCATTTATACCTTTGCTGTTCCTTCTCTGAACTGTAAGCACCATGAAAGCACTTATTGTGTCTTATTTACCCCCTCTCCTCTCAGCCCCTGTGGTACCAAGTTCAGTGGCTTATACAAAAACAAAACAAAACACTAACATTTTTTCCACCTATTTGAGTTGACTTTTTAATTTATTCAATCAGCTGACCATTGATAAATTTTGAGACATTAGGACCAAAGGTTATGATGCAAAATGAAATCTGAAATTACTCTGCAATGGACAGATCCTCCTCTGCCTGTTGTAATGTGCAGTCAGTCTGTTCTGACTCATAATGACCCAGTATAGGGTTTGTGAGGAACGCCTGCAGAGCTTGGACTGCCAACCTTGTAGTTCGAACCAGCCTTGCAGTCCAGTGCATTAACCCACTGAGACACACCAGGACTCCAAATGGAACCCACTTTTTGCCGAAACCCAGATTAGATGTGATTATTCTGAAGGGTGTGAACTGCAACTCCTGTCCTGGAAAAAAGGTGGCAACGAGTGGAAATAGACTCAATGACACGGGAATTGGTTTTCTATTTTTAAATCCTGGAAAGCCTTCAAAACCAGTCTTTAGCAGATTGGTGACAAGATGAGATTGAATTCATTCAGGTGAATAGCTGGGGAGGAAAAGAAGAAAGCTAGTCTGGGAATTGAGGTGAAGCATGGTGAGGTCATTTCTTTTAATGCATTTAATTCAAGCTTTAAATATCTGCATGTTCAGATTGGGATAGATAAGCAAACTTCTTTTTTTTATTATACAAGGGTTGTTGTTGTTAAGTATTGTGTTAAGTTAGTGACCCTGTACAGGGTTTTCGAAGCATTCAAGGGTAGGTGTGCCAATAACCTATTTGGGAGAATAAGCAGTATGTGGATTCAGAAAGACCATGACGAAGACCCATTGTCGGGTGTCCACTACTAACTCCGTATACTCCAAAAACCCATCTCAGCTCCTATTCTTTGGTGTCTCATCTATAAAATTATGCATTAGACTATGGCATTGGTTCTACACAGGTCAAGAATGAAAATGTAGGTATGAACATTTTCCTAGGTAAGTACACACACAAGATTTTCCTTCAAAGATGACATAAATTATATTACCAATCCAACACTTATGACTTCAACAAAGAAAACTGGATTTATCAAAGGACACAAAAGTCCACGAACAAGTATATTTATTAATACCCTGCCTTTGAGACCAGGTATTTCAAAATCTGGAGATTGGTCTTTTAGATTTTCAGCAATTGCAATAGATATTTTTGCAACAAATTTAGATACTGGTTGAGCGTTACTTCACTTCAATCTGGAAAAATGAAATGAATTTTTGGCATATCTAGTTAAATAAAATGTGTTCCTCATCAATATCACTAATGCAGCAGTAAGTTTGATGGGGATAGATTGTTTTTTCTTTTAAGAGATAAATATTACTATTGTTGTACCCAATTCCAAAATTATGTGTGTGTATATATAATATCAATCATCTCAATTCACTGGTGTTCCCTGATTTGAATTTCATACAGAAACGCTGTCTATTACTGGTAATTCCAAATAAGAATAAAACATAATAATGATTACCCAGGATGCAGCTGAGTAGCTGTGGATTAACATCTGTATTATTTCTCGATGTATCCATGCCAGATTTAAATAACAAAAAGGTTATTTTTTTCTGTATATTTTCTAAGAAGAATTGATAATAATGATGCTCTGCATTTGCTATAAATAACACATTTCATTTAAAGTGTTTATTTTCCCTTGGTTGACCAAGCTCACTGCCTAGGAATGAAGGCATGAAGGGAGCCGTACTTAGTTCTCATCTAAGGAAATCCACTGTCTTTGTCTTCCTGACATGAGTTATTTATTTCCTAAGACTTCAGTGGAGGGAGAGATTTTAGAAAGTTTAACTATCAAGGTGTAAAAACTAGATATACAAGCTTTCAAACCTTTAGACTAAGGTTCCCAATGTTTTATTTAAAAAAACCCTAAAAATGAGTTGTTTTATTTCTTCCAAACCTAGAGATGTGTGGGAGAAATGAGGACTGAGAATGATGTTCTTAGATGAAACACAGTGTGAGGAGTCACTAAATCCCTTCTCTCACTGTGTAGAAGCCACACAATATATATATATATATAGTATTTCCATTTTCAAAGTCTAGGTGACAAAGTTGAACCTTTCCTTTATCATAGTGAGTTTGTCTATGTAATAATAGAAATGGTCATGGTTTTCAGCCTTGAGAGGTAAAGCATCTAAGCAACTGACACAGAAGAAGGATTTAATCATCCACTATGTCTCAGAGTTAGACTGTAGACCATTTGGATGATCATCACCTGCCATGCTTGCTAGTTATAAATCTCAGACCAGACACTGACTACATCAAAACAATGTGGTACCTATGGCTTTGCCTTTAACCTACTTCTCTGGAGGATTCTTTTAAACACTAAAATTTAAGAACTACTATTACAAGTGTGGGAGACCTGGTGTGGCATTGTGGGTTAATGCGCTGGACTGCAAAATCGGTTTGAACTGCAAGGTCGGCAGTTCAAGCTCAGCAGTCACTCCTTGGAAACCCAATACAGGGTCTCTATGGGTCAGAAGAGACTAGACAGCACTTAACAACAATACAAGTACAGATTCTTCAGTTTACAGTTCCCCCTTTTGGTAAGAGCAGAATATCAATGAACATACCTTTAAAGAAACCCACTCCTACAATTTCTATGTTATACAAAGTCTATGCAGCAGATTTTTGCTTGACAATGTTTAGAGAATTAATTTTTAGCCCAAGCTTGGATTGACTAATAGTCAAGAGGCATGCACCAGGAACAGAAAACTATAAATACTGACAGACACAAAACAAATGGATAAATTTGCTGAGATTTCAGACAGAAGTTGCATAGACACTCATTCCTTAGAATATTCATAGTTAAATCCAGACATTAAATGCAAGTACCCTCAAAGTCTTCACTAGATTGTCAAATAAGATTCAAGGAGACACCAAAAGTCCAATGA